ACAGCTCTAAGCAGTTGTTGAGGACAGAGGACGTGCTGTTACGCAGTTCTCTGATATATACAGCAGTATAACACCATCCTTGCAATAAAAGTACAGAATGAGCTTCTAAAGATGCCTTTYTACTGGATGTTTATAAGTGGATTGAGGTTTAATGACAAACTCCTCTTGCTTATTTCTCACTTTTTCTCATCTTTCTTTCTGGGGGAAGGGAGGCTGACAGGGGCTGTTCTTTCTCAAGCTCAATATTAAATAAAAGAGACCCAAAAATATATTGAAAATGCACTCTTAAGTCATGGCACAAGGCATATTTCAAATGAATGCAGCTGAAAACCTCCAAACTATCCAAAAGCTATTTCAATAAGGTATTTTCACTTACTCAGGACATTCAAGACATTGACACAACTTCTAAAAAGATTAATCTTTTCTAAGCATTTTAACTCAATTAAATGGACAAAATCTCCAGCACAGGAGGTGACAATACCCCATGTTCCACATCTGTCTTCCCAGGTTCCAGAGGGCTTCCCAAAGCTCATTGTTTTTGGGGGAGCTTTCAGGCAGTCCTTCAGCTGACCCTTGCATGTCCAGATATCCCCAAAAATCTCTAGTGCTGAAGGAGCAAACCATGGAAGTGTGCATTAACTCATGGTGTGTATTCCACATCTCAGCTACAACAAATCACAAACACGGAGCAGAACCTGACACATTATTTAACTTGACCTTTGACTACGTGAGAGCCAAAGCAAGGAGACTCCAGCCCATCACTATTCCTCCAGCAGCACTGGAGATGTTCAGATCTCAAATCTTGCAGGGAAATGAACAACAGCATCGAATCCTGCAGTTGTTTCACCTTAAATAGACAGAAGGGAGGTGCTGAAACTGRAGTGATGTCTTTGCAGTTCAGGCAATCTGTGTTCAACTCACAGGCTTGAATAAGCTCTGGAGTGCAGTAGGAGAATTAAAGAAAAGTCACAGTCCTCTCACCTCATCCAAATCATCCTGGAGCTGCAAAATGCACAGGAAAGACTCCTGGTTGAATGGGATGTTACCTTGCTTCAGTACAGCACAGTAAAATTGGACTCACATCATTTTAATTTTTAACGTTCAAGTAGATTAAATTAAAATAGTCCAAAAAAACAMTAATGCAAAAAGATGCAACAATTGTAATCAAGATGGCAAGAAACTGGCAATGTGTTCACCACTGGAACAGTTTGGGAGTTACCCTGAACCAGTCTATACCACTGATCAAGGCACTTCTTTGCAACAGCCTGCTGCAGTAGGCAGATAAAACGTAGCTGTGCTGTCTACATGAAACGTGTTTAGATACATAAATCCTTGCAAAGGGGCTTTCTATTTTGAGGCAAAACCAGAAAAAATTATACGCTGCATTAAGTATTTTCTTCTTTGTCCTCTTCTCGACCGTCTGCAAGATCAATTAAAGTGCTTTTGCATAAAACAGGCAGAGAGAAGCACGTTCCAAAAGATAAATAAATAACGAAGCAACTCTTTGCTTTCAATATGATGCCTGAAGAAAACAAGCGCAACGACTTAAAGATTCCCACAGTGAAAAAGAAGAAAATGCTAAAGGTTTAATCATACACTTACAAGGCAACAAAATAGATTTCTCAAATCTTAATATCTCTTGTGAAATTTTAAGCACTCAGACACAAATATTAGTAACATGCTGCAGCAAGCTGAGTCGTTTCCCCTGCCCTCACAGGAGTATGTGAGAGTCCCTCCCTTGCGCTCACATTTGGTGTTTCCATCACCATTCTGTTTGCAAAAATATCCAAATGAAACTGTGAGCACCTCATGGTTTAACACATTCCTTTCCTTATGGAGGTCTTGCTGTCCTGTAGCTCASCAACCTCTCTGCCCAGCAGCAATGCAACATCTGGAAGCACCAGCATGACTTCCCTGCAGGTGTCACCCCCAAGGTGACTCATGGCCACAGCCTTGGCACGGAGAGACAACACTCAGTTCAACTGCTCTCCCAGTCACCAACTGGAATGGGAAGTGGGGGAAAAGGGAGAGAGAACAACCCACCAAAATAAAATTCAAGACCTACTTTCTTCTTCCTCAGAATACCCTTTGTCATGTCTTCACATACAAGGGAGGAACTGTACCCATCAAAAACCCATAATAGTTTCTCAGGAAGAAACTTTTTACAATGAGGGTGGAGAAACAGTGGCACAGGTTGCCCAGAGAAGCTGTGGATGCCCCATCCCTGGAACTGTTCAGGGCCAGGTTGGACAAGGTTTGGAGCAGCCTGGGATAGCAGGAGCTGTCTCTCCCTGTGGCTGGGGGATTGGAACTGGATGATCTTCAAGATCTCTTCCAAYCAAGCTATTCCATGATTCTGTGACCCTATCTGGCCCCAGAGACTTTTGCTAGCCTAAGTGGCACAGAAGGTCACAGACGATTTCCCTTTGGGTTATGGAGGCTTCAATCTGCTCCCTGTCCCTCCAGCTGAGGGAGTCATCCCACCACGATTCCATCAAGGCAGCTGTGCCGTATTTTTCCAGCTGCACAGTAACTTCCAGTTTGTTGCCCATACTGGGGGCACTGTTGCMGATGGACTTCAGCTGGGCTGTTGATCCCACCACCTTTTTTTTTGGGAAGAAACCCTAATTACTGCATGGACATTCTCAGGCACTTCCATGGTTTCTAACACATCAATAATCCTGGTGCCCTTGGTGCTGCAGGGATCTCCATCCCCTACCTCCACTGAGACAGCAGAACTAAGGACCTCACTAGCACAGCATCCCATGGTAAGAAAAAAAAAAAAAAAAAAAAAAAAAACAAAAAAAAAACAACAACAACCAAATTCTGCAGGTGATATCAGGCTCAGAGCCAGGTACTGATCAAATGCATCTTCCCTCAGCTTTCCCTGCAACTGGAAGAGTAGGGAGAATGCTTGTGTTTCTTGTGCCTTAACCAGTCAACCTCCCACCAAAATACAAAAGAAGGGAGAAATCACTGCTCTACACAATCGAAACAGGAGGAGAATAACCTGCAATATTAAAATAAATTAAAAGCAAAAAAACCCCACAAAAATAAAAAAGAAAACCAAACACCAAAGAAATGAAAACAAAAGCTAAAAGGTGAATAATTCATTTAGGCAATGTGCAATGCCCATATTATACCTGAACTGTTTACACTGAATGTTCATAGTTTAATCAGAACCACTGGAACAAGAAAAAACAGAGTCATAAGTACAACATTTATCTTGAGCAAATGGAATAGGTTTCTGGGTGAGGCATTTTCATTTAAAAGAAAAAAAAAATAGGTTGCAGTTTGTGAAGTGACCAGCAAGGGGAGTCGGTGCCCAGAGCTTTGAAGGAACCACACAGATGCAGTTTTGGGTGGAAAAAAACTAAAATAAACAATTCTGAGGTAGTGAGATTGATAAAACATTGAAGACAGCCAGAGGATGCTGTAGGATGATGGACAGAGAGCAGAAAACCCACTAACCTGGAAAACAGAAAGGGCTTCAGAGAAAAAAAAGTCATGYTTTGCTTGGAAATTGGACTGTCTGTCCCTGCAAGACTTAATGGAGAGTATGTAATGGAGAGCTCTTGGAGGGAAAAAGGCAAAGGACAAATGAAATCAAGTCAGGGTGGAGCTTAGGATAAGAAAATAAGGGTTAATCTCAAAGTATAGGTTCTGAGTACAATATTCTGGTATTAACATGAAAAGACTTTGGCCAGKGGTGGCCTTGAGAAGACATCAGGGAGGGTACCAAATGTCTGGGAGATGTCAGAGGACTAAGGCTGATCAGGCACCCTGTCACTGAGCCCCAGAACCAGAAACAAATAAGGGAAAAAAAACATAAATAAGGACTATAAAAAACACCCCTCGCCTTGAGTGGGATTTAATAATATTATGAAGCATTTAAAGCAAAATGCCAGCGGTAGGAACTCATTAGGCTCTGTATGGGGAACAGCAGCAAAATCACTGCTGCAGCTCCAGCCATGCTGGGCTCATCAACAGAAACGGGGCCACCCCGGGCTCCGGGGCCACGGGGAGGGGCACTCAGAGCTTTCGTTCCTCTGCCCCGCTAATCTCATTAACCTCGTATTTACTCTGTTGTTGGTAATTACTCAGAACGTTAATAGGCACCATTTATGCATATTATTTACTGAATGTTACAAATCTCTTTAGCTCCGGGTATGAATCGGGGCTGGAAAATGCCAATGCTCCACGTGCTGTGGAAAASGGAGGCAGAGAAATGAAAAATATTTTTTTAAAAAATTAAAAACCATTTTAGGACTTGTTTTAAAAATAGAAATTTCTTCAATATCTTAACTTCTTGCAAGATAATCAATCAATTCAGACAAATATATAAAATCCATCGATTTTACTTATTCCATAATAACATTCTTAGAAGGAAAAACAGACACTAATGCAAAAATACCCAAGAAAAGACCTATTTCCTACTATTAAGCTGGAGTCCATGAAACAACCATTCCAGCCATGATACAAATTACCGTTAACGATATTCCAGGTGGGAAAAACAGATGCAGTTTAAGAAAAGTGTTATTGCTGTTAAAGAACTCCATAGGTTTTACAGACACAGTCTGTTACACCTTGAAAAATGGAACTTTCACTGACCATCTGTTCCTAGCAGAGAACACCCAGAAACTCTGGCTTTGGCCAGAAAGCCCAACTCAAAGTCAACGTACCATGAGCAAAGGACATCCCAGAGCTTAATGAGCAGCCAGGATCAGATGTCAGGGGAAGAATTTGGATGGAGATCACCCATTATTAACCAGTTAAACAAGGAAACCACTGCAAGAGCAGAGGATGGCATCCAGAGGGGAATATCTGCAAGAGCAAAGCCCACAATATTCCTACACCCACCTCCAGAGCRTGGGTCTATAATACACAGCATCACCTCCACCGAGCTGAAAGGATATGGAAAAAAACAACCAAAATCAAAGACCAAAAAAAATTAAATGGGAAGGATTATTGAAGAAAGAAAACAGCAAAAATTACCTCACCCACAATTTTATTCTGCTGTGTTGTGGAGCCACTTGTTGGGAACTTGGCAGCAACAGCCCAATGGACCAAAGGCCCAGCTCAGCAGTATTGTTCCTGTTCAGATAAAAGAAAAAAAAAAAAAAAAAAAGAAATCAGATGTGAAAAGCAGAAACAGCTTTTATCTGCTCTGTTTCCTTCAGTCTGAAGCTCAGGGATTCCCAAGACTGAGGTTTTAGCCATATCTTTAGATTCAACTGGGAGTTTTCACACCCTGTGAATTTGTTAAACATACCCATATATTAGGCACGCTTTGCTTTTGGCCTACACAATGTCTGTTGACAATGGAACACATACCAAAAAAAAAAAGGAAACAAAAAAACCCACTTCTTCCCTTTAATTTCAGGGTGCAAACATAAGGGGATGCCTAGTGAAACACAGCAAGCAATTTTTATTTTCCGCAATCTCTGATTTCACATTATTGTCATTTCTCCCTGCTTTGCAATGTCATATTTTATAGCCAGTATCAGTCAGTTAAAAAGGATCTGGTTTTAGTCCGTTTTTACTACATTTTTACTGCATTTCCTACAAAAAGAAAGCTTGTGCAAATAAAGGGATTATTGAGAAAGAACCACACAACTGAGACAACCAAGTAGACCCAGAACAGGACWTGTGAACAATTTMAGGGATGATGATTCCACCACTTCCCTGGACAGTCTGTTCCAATGTTTGACCAACCTTTCAGTGATGAAATTTTTCTTATAGCAAATCCAAACTTTCCCTAGTGCAGCCTGAGGCCATTTCCTCTCATCAGGAACAGCATCCAAAAGGATCCAACAACTCAGATAACTCCGGTGACTTTAATAACATCCTAAACTCATTTCCCACACACATACTTTCACAACTGATTTTTCTATTTTGGTCCAAATTTGGAAACCTAATGCTTCAGAAGGAATTTAAGATGCTTTTAATGTTGTTGATTATGCTCTAATAAAAAAATAAAAGAGAAAAGAASAAAAAGAATGGCTTAGGAAACTCAGGTAGAGGCACTTACACACTGAAAAGTAAGGAAATAAAAAATATTACAGACCTTTTTACAGCAATTATTCCTCAGAGGAAGCATTTTAATCAAAATGCTGATATTTTGGGTTTGTTTTAAGCAGCAGGAGCATTACACAAGAGAGAGCCTTCCAGACTAATCATCAAAGCTTTCTAAACCTCATGATGAGGTGGTGGAGAAAGTCAAATCACATGGGATGACACTGGGGTGAAGGAGAGCAGTAAAGGATGCTGAAGGAGCTCCTGTCTTGAGTTTTTCTACCCTTAGAAAAACCACCCAATTACCCTTTCCTCCTCTTTGATTACACAATCATCTTCAACACCCTCAAAAGCAGCAGAAGTTCCAATACATGGGGAAAAATAATGATTAAGAGCCTTTAAGTTAAAGCACAGTACCCAGAACCAGCTTTCAAAGACAGGGTAAATAAGTAAGACCTTTAAATTTTAAGATGTTGCTCAGCAACACCTTGTCATGCCACATCACACAACACTTCTTCCTTGTTATTTCTCTGGCCAAAGGTCAAAATTCCTCTTCCCAAGAGACAAGCCTTCAGAGAAAAAGAGTGGTGAAACTTTTACATCCAACTAATTCAGCAACAATCCACACCTCCATCCTGGAGATCTTCCTACATACGATTTATTGCAATTTAGGGTGGGGGAAATGACAAAATTTGTCTTAAATTGAGGCAGTCCTGCTTCAAATAAAAACAGAATTTTTTGTCCAGCACACAGAGTTCAGCACTGAAATCTCAGGCTGCTCATGGCTACTGAGGTAGGAGTTTTTATCGYTATCATGTAGCCTTGGGACAAGCATTTTTAAACCGGCTTTTTAAACATTTTGCCAAGTGGGGATTCAGGTACTTAAGTGGGGGAACCTGGTGGTCGAATTTCCCTGAAATGCCCTTATGCCCATCTCCCAGAGCACCCGAGGCAGCTCTAGGAGGTTGAAAACCAACAGTGAAATTATCAGAAACACACTACACTGCACATGAGATTTCTTGCCCACCCATCTTCTCCTTATCTCATCCTCCCACCAGTTCCATCCCCTGGATCAATCTGTTTTCTTCCCCAAGTCAATCTTTTTCTGGTGTTTTTTCCACAGCAGTCCCTCTCCTTTGTGTCACTCTTGCATTCTCCACACAGGAATGCAAGAGGGACGTGATCCTTGCTTGGCATCCACAGGAACAACTCCATTATAGGAAGGAATTGATGAAAACCCTGCCCACCTGCAGGTTTTTGGTTTTTTTTTTTTGGTTGGTTTTTTTTTTTTTTTTTTTTTTTTTTTTTTTTTTAAGCCATCGTGTATGTAACTCACATGATGTCAGTACAGGAATATCACACCAAGCTCTGGAAAGTAAGGGGCGGGTTTTCCTCGTTTCTATGGTTATGAGCAATTTTAATGACCAACCTAAATAAAAAGGCTGGAAGAGAGAGAAAGTAGGAAGGAGTGAGGTGGGTGTTTAATTTTGATTGACAAGACAGAGGAGAACTAGTTAAGATCTGTCAAATGCCTGCTGAGGATCACAAACCCTCAGCACATTCTACGGCAGACAGAATTAGTCTAAATGCACAGCTTTACAAAAATATTCCTTATCTGCTGAGATCAGAGTTCAGCATTTCAGTCTCACCACAGAAAGCAGCTGATGTCATAACTACCAAAGGAACCAAGGTAGGGCCAGAAAAAAAATATATTTTTATTAGTAGTATTAATATCTACAATGTCTTAATATGTCTTCATTTTTGTCTCTGGCTTATATATATACATATATATTTCTATATTTATATAAAATGACAGCATCCTCAAGATCGTTGACTATCAAAACAACCATTTTAAAGGTATTATGAAAGGCACCACTTTGGAATCACATCTGCATCACACAAAATGTTGTATAAATACAGAGTRARGAGMTAAWTCCTGCATTAAAGACCTTAAAATARGAGATYGAAYGCAGAAGGAGTTGAACACAGATTTGATGGAAAATTTCAGGAAACACAATCTGGAAAGACAAAAACACWGGCATGAAAGTCAGCTGTGATGTTCCCTGAAGATATACCACCAAAAAACAAGYTTTGGGGAAAATGAAGAACATTCCTACAAATGAAATCATCAAGAAGGAAGACGATTGGAGAGGTGGAGACTTGGAGCATTTCAAAGTCAGGAGCAGAGTTTTGTGACCTTGGAGGGAAGAATCAATATCTCAACAAGGCTGCATGAGAAGACTGAACCTGCATCTGGTGTTAAGGCCAGGGGGAAGCGGGATGCACCAAAGGACAGACACAAAGTGATCCAAAGACGTGCCTGAACCCAACTGAAAGATGYTTCTCTCGTACTCACTTGGCTCAGCTGGGATGCAAGCAGGACACAGAGATCTTCACAGGGCTACACACCCATGAGCTTTGCTATTTTATCAAACGATGTTTGAATTTTAAGGAGAAAAAAATTCAGCAAGAGAGGATGTAGTTACAAAGGAGGGAAGTCAACAGCTCCTGAGAAGCCTGCCAACAGGATCTGCGCTTCAAGCGTGCAGTTTTGGCAGAGAATGTTCTCAAAATCTGATATTTAAAAGTCTCATGGTATTGAAGTGTAATTAAAGCAAAAAGATACAAGTGAACTAAGATCAACACAAACTTGTATCAAAGTCAGCATGTGTTCCCACAAAGTCTCAGCCACCTGGTTCTTCCATGCTTCATTCAAAGACAGAAAAATTACCTACTTTTATTCTCACTCAAAATCAGCCCTCTCCAGCCTCTAAAAGGGATGGATTTGTAACAATCTTCAAGATTTAAAAAAGCCCAAACAAACAAAAAGACCCAAAACAAACCCCAAAACTCACAATAAGTTGTTTCATTTACTGCCAATTTCCAATCCTAGAGAAACTTTGTTGTGATACAAACTTTTCCTTCATCCATCAATGACCACACATCGATGCATGAAGGAAACCAAGGCTGATGAAAACACCTACAAATTCATACTTGCTCCTCAAGAACTGGAAAAACATGAAAGAATTCAAATACTTCATTGAGAAAAGCCCTTAGGAGAGGAAGGACTTGGGGATATTGGTGGATGGGAAGTTTGACATGATATTRCATATCACACACGGTAATATGGCTGTCCCATCCCTGGAAGTGTCCAAGGCCAGGCTGGATGGGATTTGGAGCAACCCGGTCCAGTGGAAGCTTCCCCTCCCATGGCAGAGGGTTGGAATGAGATGATCATCCAGGTCCCTTTCAACCCAAACTATTCTAATATTTTATGAATTTACTGCAGTTTCCTTCCCAGTAATGGCACCATGAACTCAATAACCAAGAAATTAAAAAAMCCCAACAAAAATATGGAATTCATATGTGATCTGATTTCTTACTGCAAGGTTTCCAAYAGCCAAGCTGTCCATCATCAAGTTGGAAAGTCAAAGCAGCACAGAATCAGCTGGCACAAGCTCATTTATAACCAGATAATGCCTCAAAACCTCCCAAACCAACTCTGCTGCCATCAGAGCCACCTCTTCCTTGGACGGTGCCCAGGAACTACTCGCAAATGAAATCCAACCAAATTTATTGCCTTTGCAAGCCTGGAAATTTCACTTACAGAGGTGACATGACATTTTGTTTCGCCAATGCTAATCTAATACCTTTTTAAAGGTGCATACGTTTCACCCTGTTGGCTTCCAACACTGAATTACCAGCTCTGCTAAGCTTCAGAATAAATGAGACGAGCGTGGCCTCCAGGCAAAATCCCTTTGCTGTAATCTTTATTCAAAACACACCGCTCCGGAGCCTTGCATGCATTGCCAAAAATCGCCTTGAGGTTTGCTCTTAAGATGGCAATTTGCATATCAACATTTTGCTGCAGAGCTTACCCAATGTCCCCGCTATTATTTTAATACTCGGCTGTGGGCGGCCCCCTGAGCGGCTCACAGAAGTGCAGGCTAAAAATATTCCTGCCTTCCCCACTGGCTCCACACATGACCACAGCTCGGATGCAAAACCAGGAGCGATGGCATCCACCCGCCTCTCCAGGAGGATGCRCAGGCTCCAAGGTGCTCAAAAAAACGTGGCAG